CCGAGCATCGAGACGTGGGAGTTGCCGGGGGCCGTCGAGCCCAGCAGCGGTAGCAGCGCGGGTGCAAAGCAGTGGGGGTGTGCTCGCCCGCATGGCAGCAGTGCAGCAGCTGTGCTCGCCGGCCGTGGCGCAGCCACCTGCTCGTCCGGTGGCGGAGCAGCGCGCACGCACGAGCCTGACGATGGCTCGACTAAAGCTGCGCCTCACTGTCTCGTCCCTGTCGGCGCCTATGGCCCCGGTGGCCCGGTCACCCCATCCGCCGCCGTCCCCTAGCTCCAACCGCCTCGTCCGTCACTGGGGCGGACCTCCTGCGCCCACAGTGGGGCCGAGCTTGCCTGTCCGAATGCTGCTGGAGCCGGAGGAAGGAGAGGAAGGGAATGAGTGGGTGACGCGCAGGCTCCACATGTCGCTGAGATGCAGGCCAGCATTCTACGTGGCGGTCAACGCCTACGTGGCGTGGTCAAAACCGCTCAACGTCGGTCAAAACAGCCTTGCCCTCGTCCAGGTGCTAAAAGTGACGGTTTTGACAGTTGGAGTACCGATACTAGACGATTTTGTAGTTGAGGGTTAAAATTAGACCAACACAATAGTTGAGGGGCTAAAAATGGACTTAATCCATAATAATATAATAGAGTTAAAAGACACCAAATAACTATGTAATAAATAAAGAGGAAAATAATAATAACAAACAAAGAAACTAAAAAAGTAAGTTCTTTTTGTAAAAAATTATCTACAACATTTTAACATATAGACTGCAAAAAAAAAGAACTTTACAAGTATTTTAGAGGCTGCATATTGCAACAAACCAATGACCAGTCATTTTGACCATGGTATTATCTGATTTTTGAGACACGTAATAAACACAATTATATTGTACGATGGCCCCTGAGATTTGTAATTCTTCAACAGCCTGTTAAGATAATCGAAGGTTTTAAAATTTACTCTCTGTAATTTACTCGGTACATACCTTGCCATGCTAGTGTACGTGAACAAGAAACATGTGGTTGTGAACCAGAAAGCTATCGAGCCAACCCAAGCCCAAACGTGTCCAGTCCGATGAGTCTCTATTTAGGAAGCACCGGAGGGGCCTCGGACGAGGTAGCAGACGAGAAAGAGGTGGACGACAGCAATGGAGATGAAGACAAATCCTGTGCGAACCAGAGCACCGGCACCCGCCGTCTCCCACAGGTCGGTGGCGCCATGAAGCTTCCCGGCATCGGAGTCGGACGACAGATGTGCGCCCAGGACAGGGGGTGTTGGGATGAGGAGAGCAAACGTGGCTAGTTGTGCGACGAAGACGAAGCTCAGCAAAGTTGGGTACATCAACATCATGAGGACCAACATCTGACTGAATGTCTCCTTCACCTGAAAAACCAAAAGAAATTACAGCCGGCGAATTTTATTTTCTCATGAAGCTGTAATCTGTTAATTTTGTTGTACATACCTTGGTATTTGAAGGGGGATTCGTGCGCCTTTCTTCTCAGGCGTACTCCATGTTGAGGCGAGCGAGAGAAAGAACAAAGATCAGAGGTGTTGCTGGCGAACAGAGGAAGGGAGGCCGGCCGTTCGGGTCACGTCGTCGGCAAGGCAGGTCGGTGGAGGCGGCGGGCTGGACTGCTGGATGTGAAAAAGGAGGAGCCAAGTAGAGGTATTTAGATTGAGTCTGTAAAAAGTGTCGGGCTCAAAGTTTCGGTGCTGCACGACAAGACTATTGACGATGATGCGGAATCGAATAGCTGCGACGCAGCGGAAGCCGATTGGCCGATTGCCTCTTTAAGCACCTGAAATATAGTTGAAATGAATTTCTTGGTCCGAGAAGTGCATTGTTGGAACTGGATTGGAACGACAAACAGCTCTAGATTCGAGGGTTTCTGTTATAGCCGAACGCGAGGGAAAGACCATTTCTAGTTATAGTCACAAGATCCTTTTATCAAGTAGTGGGGAGAACGTGGTAGATTTTCCAAATTTAGAAATAATAGTTCAGTAGAAAATCTAAGCAGTTGTTTTTCATTCTTCTATACTAAATTTAGCTATTTATTAATCATGTTTAACAGGAGCTATTTATTTATATATTTTGTTTATTTATTTACATATCGTTTTAATATATAACTATATATGCATATCCCGAGTGGTCGTGTAGTTCAACTAAACTAACTCTGTACTCACCAAGACATTTGAAATACTTCCTCCACCTATTCAGGTAACTGTTTCCATAAATAATAGTGTTGAAATCCTACCTATTTAGGTGGATTATTAACCTAGAATTGGTACATTTGTGGATTGAGAAAGTGTCAAATATAAATAAATTGTTGTGAAATAGGTTGCCAACGGTTAGAAGATTTTTCTTTGTCTCTCATGATTAACACACTAGATGAAAGTAGAACACATAGATAAAAAAATAGAGTAACTATTCTTTATTCGTTGAATATTGATCATTACGATGTACAACACTCCCATGTAATAGATTAAACAAGGCCTAAAAATTTGGTAAGAACTCACGTACAAATAGATTAAGATTGGGTTTCTCTTCATTTCCTTCCGGATTAGAGTCCATATATTTTACAACTTTCCGTAGACGCTTACCATGATATGCACTGCCTCATTAAAAATTTCATCCTAAAACCTAGTAGAAAAAATATACCGTTTTTGGAGAAAAGAATACACCACTTTCATTAATTGCATTGCCTCATTAAAAATCTTGTGGGAGAAATCTTGATGTAAAAACTCGCAGAGAAAAGAGGTACAATATCTAACCTTCTTGATCATGTATTTTTTAAGGATATTATATTCTTTATTCATGAATAGATACCTATATTCATGATCTCTGCAAGGTTCAAACGTTGGGTGTTCATTGGCTTTAAAACACTCAAGTCTCTGAGTAGACAAGTTGTAAAAGAAACTAATCTCAACTTCCAATGGCTAACAAAATAAGAAATTTTACGCGTCCCATTAGATACACGACGACTACTCTTGCAGAATTCCAAGTGCCTCGATCAATCGATTTGTCAATAGTACACTGTGGCTGTAGGGGAATCATCCGCCGCCACCTTCTCAGCCTCACAACGGTTCAAAAGTCAGGTGTGCAGTGGCTTTAGAAACTTGACCTCTGAGTAGACAAATTCTATAGTCCGTGTCACATCGAACATTCGGATGCTAACTAAAAGGACTAAACATGAGCTAATTATAAAAGTAATTGCACAGGAGTAGACTAATAATTAGCGAGATAAATCTATTAAGCCTAATTAATCTATGATTATCATATATTTACTGTAGCACAACATTATCAAATGATAGACTAATTAGGCTTAATAGATTCGTCTCGTAAATTAGCCTTCATCTATGCAATTAGTTTTGTAATTAGTCTATGTCTAATACTCCTAATTAGCATTCAAACATCCGATGTGACGGGACTAAAATTTAGTCCAATAGTATCAAACACCCCCCAATTTCAACTGTCAATGGCTAACAAAAGAAGAAATTTAACATGGCCAACTAGATACACGATGTCTACTCTGCAAAGTTCCAAGTGGATCAATGGATTTGTCAAAACTACACCATAGCTCTAGGGGGATAAGCAACCACTACCTTCTCAGCGTAAGATGGGGCCTGAAATAATGTAACATAAGTTGGACCGAATCACAGATCAAATCAACTAAATGTAAACAACATAAGTGAGATGATTTACGCAGAGAAGTTGCGCGGTGAGGGCAAGGATGAGAATAGAGATGAATGCTGCAAAGCCCCACTTCCAAGTCATGAGCACCATACCATAATAATATAATAGAGTTAAAAGACACCAAATAACTATGCAATAAATAAAGAGGAAAATAATAATAACAAACAAAGAAACTAAAAAGGTAAGTTCTTTTTTAAAAAAAATATCTACAACATTTTAACATATAGATTGCAAAAAACAATAGAACTTTACAAGTATTTTAGAGGCTGCATATTGCAACAAACCAATGACCGATCATTTTGACCATGGTATTATCTGATTTTTGAGACACGTAATAAACACAATTATATTGTACGATGACCCCTGAGATTTGTAATTCTTCAACAGCCTGTTAAGATAATCGAAGGTTTTAAAATTTACTCTCTGTAATTTACTCGGTACATACCTTGCCATGCTAGTGTACGTGAACAAGAAACATGTGGTGGTGAACCAGAAAGCTATCGAGCCAACCCAAGCCCAAACGTGTCCATTCCGATGAGTCTCTATGAAGGAAGCACCAGAGGGGCCTCGGACGAGGTAGCAGACGAGAAAGAGGTGGACGACAGCAATGGAGGTGAAGGCAAATCCTGTGCGAACCAGAGCACCGGCACCCGCCGTCTCCCAGAGGTCGGTGGCCGCCGTGAAGCTTCCCGGCATCGGAGTCGGACGACAGAGGTGCCCCCAGGACGGGGGTGTTGGGATGAGGAGAGCAAACGTGTCCAGTCGTGCGACGAAGACCAAGCTGAGCAAAGTTGGGTACATCAACATCATGAGGACCAACATCGGACTGAATGTCTCCTTCACCTGAAAAACCGAAAGAAATTACAGCCGGCGAATTTTATTTTCTCATGAAGCTATAATATGTTAATTTTGTTGTACGTACCTTGGTATTCGAAGGGGGATTCGTGCACCTTTCTTCTCGGGCGTACTCCATGTTGAGGCGAGCGAGAGAAAGAACAAAGATAAGAGGCGTTGCCGGCGAACGGAGGAAGGGAGGCCAGCCGTTCTGGCCGCGTCGTCGGCAAGGCAGGTCGGTGGAGGCGGCGTCTCGGTCTCAGAGTCTCTGTGATGCACGGCACAACGATCGACGGTCTGTAAAACGTCTCTGTCCCACAGTCTCGGTGCTGCACGACACGACGATGCCAACATGGCCGATTGAAAACATGAAAAAATGGAGAGCGCCAAGCACAGGAACCAAATGTCTCTCCCAATCAACCAATTTTAAACTCAATGAATTATGGCACAGTGCGGATACATATCATAGGTTCACAGCACAACTCATGAACTAAAAACCAATCACCGAAGCACCCGGCATCTTCAGAGGAGGCAGTGCGAGAGCAGAGTCCCGGCCACGGCAGCGAGGACGGCGAACGCTGAGACCGGTGGCATCACCGCCGCTGACTTCGATGAGCCTGGGCTTGGGCCTGCCGGAGCCGTTCCAGAAGCTGTAGGCGCTGCAAACATGGAAACGGCATAGCCGAGTGAGATAACGAAGGGACACAGACGTTCCCATAATTTCAGAACCTTTTCAGATGCATATAGCTCTTCAGAAACTGAAGATGGGGCTTTCAGTGAATGAACAGAGATGGTTTTTACTGTTAGGCTCAATTTCACCCCTTTTTATTTAATAGGCCAAACAAAGCGTAGCTCACTTTCACTCTGGTTTTGCGTGTTTTAGACTAAAATAATATACTGATATCAAATGGACTGAAATTTTGCAGTGTGGATCAACCCACTTAACCACAAAGAAGGAAGTGCTTCTGTTAGTAATTCAGATCACTTGTCACTGTCTTATGATAATAATTAAAACTTTAGCTTGCATATCTCACTGTGACAAAATCAAAATGTATAGCATCCCGGTCCTGGATCCAGATAAAAACTGTATCATCCATCATCATATTTATGCCAGTCAACTATCCTGTTTGAATTTAGCTTGTACATAGTTAGCAGGTGGCATGAATTAGTAAGAGTAGATCTAAATAGACTAAGCTACATGTAAAAATTAGCAAGATGGGGGTTGCGAGCAAGTGCTAAGAATTAGCCTGCTAAAATTAGTAGACTAACAGGCCCACCCTTCAACTTGCTAGGCCCTGTTTCATACTACTGAAATTAGCATGCTAACTCTTAGCACTTGATGGCAGCATCTATCTTGCTGCTAATTTTCTGTAAGTAGCTAGCACACCTAGTAGGTGGTTTGTTTGGATTTGGATCCAGGTTTACGAATGTTTAGTTTCTATATATACCTATTAGCAATATAGATCCAAACATGGCTTTGCTTATAGGTTAAAAGGTAGTAGCAAACCGATCATCATGTTTAAATCTACCCCTAATTTTTATTATAGCTAACTAATACTTCAACCGTCCCTAGATAAGTCTAACTTCTAAGTTGTCATAAGCTAAAATTTGATCGATTCTATATAAAAACATCAGTATTTATATGATAAAAATAGCATTATTAGGTACACCATAAAATATATTGGTGTAATTAATGTTTAAATTCTTTTTTCTGTAAAGTTGATGAAACTAATTTCGCATGGATGCATCGTCGTTGCAAATTATGAACAAAAAAGGACAGAGGACCATCTTTGTGTTACCTGAAGCAGGGGCACCGGGCACTTTGACTGCAAGAAAAGAAATAATAAATTAAACCAAAAGGCTTCTTCTATCTATTGCAAAAACAAAGTCGTAGAGATTATAGTAATTATAGTAATCACAAATCAACACAAGAAAGAAACGAACAAAAAGCAGTGAAGCAGAGAGAGATCAGGGCGGCAGTACTGACTGTTGCACTTGCTAAAGGCGGCGGGGTCTTCGCCGCACGCCGCGGGCAGCCCGGCGGCGCGGGTGAGGTTGACCTGAATGCCGTAGTTCTGGCCGAAGGCGGCGCAGAGGCAGGCGACGGTGGCGGGGCTCTTGAGGGCGGCCTTGACGCCGTCGCAGCACCCACTGGTGGGCTTGCCCTGCGTGCTCCCCTGCTGAACGTACGAAACGCAGCCGATGAGCCCGGTCACCGCCGACGAGCAGTCGACCGGTGGCGACGGCCCCGGCGCCTGCGACGCCGCGCCGGACGCTAGCGCGAGGACGGCCACCACGACGGCGGCGACGGCGAGGCTGAGGCGCGCCATGGCTGGACGGAGGGCTTGGACTTGGAGGCACGGCACGTGCGTGGAGATGCGTCTCACTTGGCGCGGGGTGGAGGGCGTGGTGGCGGTGGCGGTGGCGGCGCGTGTGTTTTTAAAGGCGGCGAAGTCGTCCCGTGGCCAGTGCGGACGACGAGATCTTGTAGATGTGGGGTGTGCGGTTGCGATCGGGTCTGCCTGCCTAGGCGCCATCGATCGGTATCCGCGGCTTCAGTTGTGCCTCGCCGCGAAACGGCGCGTCGTTTCGTTCCCGGCTCGATCGAACGGGTAACTGAAGAGACGAGAGAAATCCGGGAGACGTCACGTCGTCTGCCGCCGGATCCGCGCGGCGCCACCGCGTCTCTAATCCTCCTCTTGGGCGACCTCGTCCGTCCCACACGGGCAACTCGGCAAGGCAAGCATGTGAACGGCGACGCCATTTTTCGCTAGGCATTTGCAAGTTGCAACTGCCACGACCACGGCTCCAGTGTAGCCACCGATGGAAAGCCAAGAACTGGTGCGATCGCGTGCAACGGCATGATGCAGCCATGACCATGAGCCAGGCATGTGATCGATTCGTCCGTCAGTTTCCACCTTCCCTGGCTGCACATGAATGCTTGAGCATCTGGCTGGAGGCGAGAACAAGTTCAATTATTGCGCAGTTCATTCCTAATTCATTCTGCTTGCTGTTGCTGCTGCCATCTGGTGTATTGGTTCCTTGTATATCCAGTAGGCTCGAGGGTGTCAGTCAGATCTCTCCAGCTAGCTAAGATCATACATAAATGAAACTAGTATCGTCCAGCGGTCAACTATATGCAATGCAACCCATCTACGTACGTATTTTTATACTGGAAGCTTGCTTGAGCTGTGTAACAGTTGTGTTTCAGCTGTTCATTCAAACAACAGTTGTGTTTCAGCTGGTCTCGTCGCCAACGGATCAAAGATCACTACCACAAATAAACGCTTAAATAAAAACGAAATATATATGTAGCCAGCAACAACGGATACATTGGAGGCGCGTCCACCATTTTGTTTTATATCTACAAAAACAAGCCTGGTCTGATGCTGTAAGGCTCTGTCCACAGCGGTGCCAGCAGCCGATTTTTTTTTTTTTTTTGCCCTTTTTGTTTTTGAAAGTTTTTTCACAAATCTACCTCTAGAGGTATGCTTTCAAAATATAGACCCTCATCTTGATGCCGAGCTTACACGTCTCGGTGCCAGAAAAAATTGGCGCCTAGGTCTTGGTGCCTCGTAGGCGTCGACGCAGACGTGGCGGCGACATGGCAGCTAGCACGGCGCCATAGATCTTGGCGCCATGCTAGCCTTACAGGTGGGCCCCAACCCTTCCTTTCTCTCTTCCTTTCTCCCTTCCTCCCTTTCTCTCTCATTCTCTCTCAGCTCTCTGACTACCTCCCGACTACCCGTCCGGTGCCGTGCTGCCCTTCGCCGCCCGCCGCCGCCACCCCAGGCCACCACTGGCCTTGCAACGCACGCCAAGGCCTGCTTCTGCGCGCGCACAGACCCCGCGCCTAACGCGTGCCCGACGAGCCTGCCCAAGGCGCGCGCCCGCCCCACTCGTGCGCGCGACCTCGTGATCGAGCTCGTCGTCGTCCGCGTCCCCATCCTGCTCTGGTCCCGGCCAGCGCGCCTGTGTCCCCGGGCTGCTCCGCCGGCCACGACCCCGACCCCTGCTGCGGTGTCCGTGAGCCTGCCCCTCCCCAACCGCAGGGGAGGGTCTGGTGTCTGGCTGCAGGGCCGCAGCAGTCGCTAGAGCCAGCAAGGTCGGCTAGTGGTTTTTGCCTCCAACTTCGTATGCTCTGTTTGTTGCACTCGTCGGACATGTAAATTTTTTTATTATGCAATGTAGGTACTTAGTTAGCTTGAATTGTAGTGCTAGTTTGATTATTTGGTAGTTTGTAGTAAATTTGATGACGTAGGTAGTTGATATAGTTAGTGAGATAGATATAGTTAGATAGATAGGTGGTGACATAGTTACATAGATATAGTTAGATAGGTAATTGTATATTTAGTTATTTAGGTAGGATTTAGCTATGTAGTTAATAGATTGTATTTATATACTTAGGGTGTAGTTAGTTAGTATGTATTAGAGAGGTACTATATAGCAACTAATTTGGATTAAACAAACTGTGCTTGAATTTGTGTATGAACTACTAGATGGACAACCTAGTGAGCATATATCATGGAGGCACCGTGAAAAGAGATCGCTATGGATATGTTGAGTTTGTTAACATGCAAAGTGTCCCTGTGTTATTCAATGAGAAGCCTTCATTTAGGAGCTACATTGCCATGGAGATGATAATGATGATAGCATCGCAATGGAGGGTGTACTTCACCTAGGTTCCCCTCCCAACATCCTAAGGAAGATGATCCTAATTGGGTGTGCGGATCAGTGGAAAAACTATGTGAGATTGGCTATGAAGAGCCAGTTCCAAAGTTTGGATGTGGTTGTGTGACGGGTGGTACTTGATCGCATCCCTCATGGGTTAATGCGGCGCTGACGAAGTGTAGGCTCAAACGTAAAATTGGAACACATCCAATACCTCTGCCTATACGTGTCCTCTTCATCAGACTTGGCTACCTTGCAAGGATCACCGTAAAAGTACATGGGCACTGGAACACCACTAGGCAGAGGCAATGGGTCGAAGGCATTTCTGGTGATCCGGCCATAACTACAATTCAACTAAATTCGTTTTAAAAACCGAAAGCAATTAACATTAAACCCTAAACCTAGGGTTTTCCATTTGATGCAAAACAATGAATCCATAATATAATAAGATGTGTTGAGGTTACCTTGGTTTGCTAGCTTTTTCATGCTTTGGCATCCTACGGTTGTATAATACAAATATTAAAAAATGCATGAAACCCTAAGTAATGACGACTCTTAGGTTGAAAAATACGACTAATATATATCGAATCGATGTGAAAAAAACTAGGAGGGGAGCGAGGATACCTTGCTCTCGAAGATGTACGGATCAAATCAAAATTTCTAAGGTCCAATATGCCGATTCGTGAGGTAGGGCGAAGTGAAGAGAGCAAAAATCCGAGAGGGATGCGGAAGAAAAGGAAGAAGCCTCGGCCAGGAAGGTTGGGCGCTGGTTTAAAACACCATCTCGACACCATAGATCTTGGCGCTAATCTCGGCACCAATGATCTCGGCGCCAATGACCTAGGCGCCAACTTCGGCGCCAAGATCTATGGCACCGAGGTGGCTGCCATGCATGTCACCGCCACGTCTGCGTCAATGCCTACATCAGCCCAAGACCTTGGCGCCAAATAAGCTGGCGCCGAAACGTGTAAGCTCGGTGCCAATAACAACGGCACCGAGGTGAGGGTCTATTCTTTGAAAGGATACCGCCAGAGGCATATTTGTGAAAATCTTTCGAAAAAAGGGCAAAAAAAAAGTTGGTGCGCGCAGCTGGCCTGGAAGTAAAGCAAAACAGAAAAATAGTTATCAAAAAAGGTATCCAATAAAAGTGAAAGAAAAAAGAAATAAGAAGTACTACTAACCTTTTTTGGCTGGATATACTAGTAACTTTTGTAATACTGGTGAAATGCAGAATGCATGAACAAGGCAGAGAGGCTCATGAGTGAGATGATTCAGATCATTTTGGAAAAACAACATCATGCATTCAAGCTTGAATATGAAGAAAAGCGAAAACGTACATTATTTTGGGTGTATATACATCGAAACAATAAACGATGACCAACTTTCCTAAGCTAGTTGTTCATTCCTTCTACTGCATGAAACTCAAATCACAAAGATAAATCAATTAGTTAAGCGCGTGTCATTGTTCAATAATCATAGGATGAGACAATGAGTAGATTATAGTGTCCGTGCAACCTAGTCAACAGCCGGCCGGCTAATCAGCTATCTGCCATGCACTATGGTACATCTGAAAAACACCAAGTAACGCGACAATCACAATGGCTCTGAACTCCGAACGCCGGGTATTTAAACAACATCGTAGCGCGTACGTTCCTAGATGCTAGATTAAGCACATATACTGCGTGATCGAGAAAAAGTTAAGCACATATACGAGAGCTTGATCGTTAGTTCATCATAGCAAATTCCCAAGGGTCCCTACACCATGATGTGCTTTATGGTTACACGACAACGGCGGCTTGAGGAGCGTCGTCGGGAGGAGGAGCTCAAGAGAAAGAAAGACGCAGAGGAGAAGACGATTTGCTTCCGTATTCGAAGGAACATGGCCACCTATGAGATGAAGGAGGGAAGGAGGGCAAGAGTTGCTCGACATGAGAGGGCTACGAGAGATGCCAAGGCGGCAGAGAAGAGGAAGGAGAAGAAGCAGAGGTTGGAAGAGGAGGTGAGAAAGGAGTGGGAGAAGATGAGAAAAGAAGAAGCGGTAAAGAGGCTGGAGGCTGAGAAAAGGAAGCTTAAGGAGAAGGAGAAGAAGAAGCGCGAGGAGGAAGTAAAAAAGAGGCGTGAAAAGGATGAGAAAGAGAAGAAGAAGAGGAAAGAAGAGCTCAAGAAAAAGAAGACGGTGAAGAGAAAATGAAGCAAAGTATGATTGTAACCTATATTGAATAGTTTAGATGCATGTATTATTAGTTCCTTCAATCATTTCATAATACTAATTATGTATGAATAGCCAAGCACTCTTGTATAATATCTACCACTCTTGTATAATATATACCGAGACTCGAGTGCTCTTGAACTCAAATTTAGGTGTTTGTTTTTTTCTTATTATAACAATGAAAAATCGTCAAATTGCTTCTATGTTGAGCTCAGTTTCGTCGGATGTCGAAAGAGCGCTAGCATCGGACGCTGCTGCGCGTGCAAGAGAAATGGAGCCAGCGGCGCCTATTTTTTGTGCGCTCCACCGCGTGGGCCCTCAGCCCCTCACACTTGCGCTCGGTTTCTCACGTGCCCGTCTACGCCCCAGCAGCGGGCTCCTGCCGCCCGAACGTCACCCAGCAGCTGCAGCAGCAGGCGGGTCCCGTAGCAACATATGCAACACCAGATC